GAGAGAGAGAGAGAGAGAGAGAGAGAGAGAGAGAGAGAATAATAATAATAATAATAATAATAATAGCGGCTGACGGACGGGAGGCATTCTGTCAAACAGGTTGCGGAGGATGAGAAAGCACAAGAAGACACACGGGAGGAGGTGAGATAATATACGTATACATTTATGGTGGAGATCGGGTGTCTTGGCCCAGCTCACGGAACGGGATTTCACTCTCGCAGGAGAGTTGCCGGTCACGTTTGGTCGCGTGAGAATGTGTTCCCTGTCGGAACCGAGACAGCTGAGCTGGACGCATGATCCTTGCCCCGGTGGTAATGTTATAGTATTTGATGTTCTCGTTGTTATTACCTGATAATGTACCGATTCAAATCTCTCTCTGCGCGTCCATTCATTCCCGTAGTCTTTCTCGTGCTCCCGAGGAGGTTCGTACGAGCCGAACGCCTTGGACCGGTCCTGTTGCGCTTCCTTCCCCTCCATCCTTGCGCCTCTCGGCTCCCCTAGCTCTCTTCCGCACTCCCACCACCCCCGTCCCCACCCCCCCGCCTCTCTCTCTCTCTCTCTCTCTCCCCCCCCCCGACTTCAAAGGTACCTTCTTTCTCCCCCTTTTCTGTTAATTTCGGAATCGTTGGAAGAGATTGGGAAGCTGGGAGATGGCCTCCGAGGGGAGCGGAGGGGGAAGGTGTGATTTTGTTGGGCGGTGCTCCGTTTCGCTCTTCTCCTTTCTGACCTCATGGTCGATTGGCGAGACGGGGAGGATTTGTTGTGGTCTTCTTGCCTTTTCTGAAGCCAGGAGAGGCAAATTAGGTTTTAATTTTGTTATTCTCGTGTGGATTATGAATTTCTTATTTGATCTTACACAAAAAATTGTTCTTTCGGTGTGCAGGTACTGGGGGGGTTCGTGATGGTGAATCGGATCTTGGAAATAAGAGGGAGGCTCGGCGGAGTTCCTTTCCGCGATTCAGAGTGAGGAGGGAGGGTTTGGCAAATTCAAGTGTCGTGATTTGGCAGATGGACAGGAAAGGTGGATTGTTGGTGGGGAATTAGATTTCGATTCCTTGACTATCTTGTTGTTTCTTTTTTTTAAAAAAAAATTATTTGAGATGCTGGGGGAGTGATCTGGAAAATAAGTGGAAGGAAAAGGGGATTTCTTTTGGTAGGCGTCTTTAATTGCTTTGGGATATCTCTTACGTTGGTGGGGAGGATTGATGGGGAATAAGATGGGAAGGAGGCGGCAGGTGGTGGATGAGAAGTATACGCGGCCGCAGGGTCTGTACGTGCTTAAGGACATTGATCACAAGAAGCTGAGGAAGCTCATTCTCGAGTCCAAGCTGGCGCCTTGCTATCCAGGCCTCGAGGACTACTCTTTCACTCTCGAAGAGTGTCCCATCTGCTTCCTGGTCCGTTTTTCTTCTCATTGTTTTGTATCTACGCTGTTCTGTTTCCGTTTCTTGATTGCTGTGGGTTCAAGATTTTTGATCCGGGATGCCTCATCTTTTGTTGTTTGATGGAATATATGATGATTTTATAACATGGAAAACATTTTGGGTTCAGTATTATCCGAGCCTTAACCGGTCAAGGTGTTGCATGAAGGGCATCTGCACAGGTACTACAGAAACTTTTGTTAAACATTTAAAGGAATTATCATCAGATTTCCAGTTACTGTATACGGATCGTTGGTTTCATTTCTCAAGTTGGATTCTTGTGCAGAGTGTTTTCTTCAGATGAAACCACCACATTCAACTCGCCCGACACAGTATCCTTTTTCTCAGATGCTGATGCAGCTGGTTCTAATTTTCATCACATAAAAGGTCGTCTCCTTGACTTCAAAGGTGCCCCTTCTGTAAAACTTCAAACTATGCCGTGGAATACCGTGGTGCAAAGACAAAAGAGGAGAAGGGCATGGAACAAGTTGTAAGTTCTTCACTGAACTCGGCATGCCTGCTTTCTTGGAATTGTCAATGTTCTATTGCTGCATGAGAGATGGGTTTTTATTTGCCGAGAGTTCTCTGTGTAAATGCAGGAGGAGCAGAAGGTTATAGAAGCCCAGATACGGATTCGGCAGAAAGAAATACAGGATGAAGCGGAAAGGATGAACAAGAGACAAAGTATAAGTTCATCCAGCAGAATAATGACTCCAACAGATGTGAGATATCATGATACATACGATACCTCTATCTCAGGTCTGTAACGGGGGAGATTTGTGCTTTTACATCGTTGCCTGTAATTAATTTGTTTAGCACTAAATAGCCACCTTTTTTATTTTTTTATTGTTTACTGAACAGTGCCACCTTTGAAATGCACAAGACAATCAATTGACTTTGGTTCATCTCAAGCCTCATGCTCTGCACCTGCAACCACAAGGTTTTCACAAATGAGACAGAATAGGTAGGAAAAAATGCTGTTGCATGTTTTGATCAGTGATAGGTGGATTGATCCTGATAAAATAGAGATTGAACATTTATGATGAAGAAAATTTTTGGTCTAGCATCCAATAGTTCATGGGTTTGATCTGTGGCATTTGGTATTCGTGCTTATGGGGCCTTTCTTTTTGCTGTCTAAAGTTTTGCTTTTCTTTTGTCTGGTCTTGAAGATGAATGCTTCCCCATACTAGACTTGATTGCTTATGTTACTCCACGAACCATAGGTCAACTTTAGCATCATTTTCTCACTATTATTAGCCTATTTCTTGCTCAGTTTGCTTACTGATCTCATTTAGGTTAATAGATACAAAATCAAGTTATCTAAAAATTTCAAAATATAAGTAACAAGAAATGTTAATGTTCTTTATAAGGATGATCTTGATGACATGGAACTTGTGAGATAATTAAATTTGTCTGTGCGTAAGAAGACCCAATAAAAGGCGAGAAAGAGGGAAAAGGGGGTCTGCGGTGGGAGTCATTTTGAAAATGTGAAATTCTTGCTTCAGAAGTGACATAAGATCTCAAGATAAAATTGGATGATCTATGACTTCTATTTCAGATGTGCATTCTATTTTTTGGACTTCTTTTTTTATATCTCCTGCTACATCTACACTATGAAACCGTTTATGATATTGGATGTTATCTTTTTATATCATCTCTCATTCCAACACACTGTAAAATGTAGGGATGATAATTTTGACCTAGATCTTGAAGACATAATGGTCATGGAAGCAATCTGGCTCTCGATTCAGGTAATACGATCATGATATATTGAATACAATGAAACATAAGCTGAAGTAGTGCTGATTATAGTAACTATGCTGCAAATTTGACAAATGCAAATTTTATGTATGTCAGTGAAGTGACTGAATGATTCTTTGTGCTATCTTAAAGATCCTTTTTCTGTAGATTATTCAAAAGGCTCATTAACTCTATGATTCTGAGATCCTATGTGTTAGGCCCGCATGAATGACATGCTAAATTCCCCGTCTTTATGTCGGTGTACTCTTTATTGCTTGTTCATTCCCTATGCCAGTCTGCTCTGTTTACTTTTAAGCACCTTTATCCTATTCAGACTGATATTCTTGCAATCATTGCTAACATCCTGATAAAGACACAATCCTGCACCAAAATTGTGCTGTTACTAGTTTCGTACTACTTTTATTAGGTCCCATAATTCAATAACATGAGCATGTATTGCTTAACAGTCGTCTGAGGTCTTTTTGCTAAATTTAGTCCCACTGGACTAATTATTCATGCAAATATGCCGAGCTTGCATTATTCATCGAATGGCACCCAGTTAGTATTTGGATCAAAACTTTGTGTGGCTATGTTGCCAGTTCCAACACTGATGTACTTTATGCTGATCCATTGGTAGCAGATAAATGTATAATTGTAAAAGTTGTTGATTTTCTTCTTGTGATTTCTAATCTTTTCTGTCAACACATCTTGAAACAACAAAGTCCATAAGTTTTGGTGGATGCTTTTGATTTTTAGTAGCTTACTGAAGTTCTCTTTATGTATCAATATACAAACTCACAACACTTGGAACAAGACAGACTAAAAAGTTGAACTGAGGGCTCTAGGCTTGGGTACATATGACAAGCAGTGCAGTGCATGTGATCACCTTGTGATCGTGTAATATGAAGCTGCCATTCTGAAGAATATATTATCGTATGACTGAATTGTACATTCTTGTAGCATATGGTATAAAATTTGAAATTATGGCTAATGCATGTTGTTGTCGTTCATCAGTGACTTTACATATATCTAAGTTCTCAAGGATTCTTTTAGACTAAGCTTATTGCTTCTGTCTATTGATTGTTTATGAACAGAAACTATCAGGTTTGTGCATGACCTAGTCCATCAGACATTAGTGTGTGAGAAACTTGGTAACAATGTGTTCTGTCACTCCCTGTCAAAACTACCAAAGTTTCTGTGAAGCATTAAGATGGTCGAAAATGCAATTGAGAATCATGGAAACAACCTTCCTGTATGGAGGGGAAAGACTGCATTCATTGACCACCCTGCATTCATGGAGCCTTGAGCACTGGGCATGCCCTTTTTCGGAGTACTCAACTGGAATCAAATATCCATTCTCTAAGTTTCATAGCATGAGCCCTTTGTATGTTTGGGAACCATGTTGCGTATATCTTCATGCGGAAGCATGTGGCCCTCCATGTTTTATGCCTTTGCACAGGCAGTTATAAAATTGTTCCATGATGTTGTGTTCTTTCTCAGCACTTGGAGAAGGCATCTGCTGTTTGCATTTATAGCTTCTGGGTTACATAAGCTCTATACGGACATCGGAACATGGATCATGATATTGCTGGTGCTTTCTTGTTAGCCATGCAAGGATAAATTGCGTCTATCATCTTCTCCTATCCTTTATTGTCAGTCTTAATTCTAACTTCTTACTATTACTATCATTATTATTTTGAACAGGAGCAGGGATCTCAAGGCAATCCAGGTTGTGGTGGCAGCTCTTTGCCTGGACCATCAACCTCCGGTGAATGGTACAATCTCCATAGAACAGCTCCTGCGAAATTATCTTCTTCCGGTGGGCTGGCTTGTGCAGCTGCAGCCTTAGCCGAGCGTCAACATATGAATGGTGATGCTGCTGCTACTAATGCTGCCGCCGTTTTACGAGACGGCGGGAGCGAACTGCCGAGGGAGGAGTTTGGGGAGTGTTCGACGGACCAGTGGTCAGAGGTGGCCGAAGCAGGAACCAGCTATGCAGGCTCCGATGGGATGGTGGAAGCAGGGGCAGCAGCGATGTCACTCTCGGAAGGTACAAACATGGCTTCAGGACTTTCTGTTCCGGAGAGCTTCGATGAACAGATGATGCTGGCCATGGCTGTTTCACTAGCGGAGGCTCAAGCGAGGACGAGTAGCCATGGAGTCAGCTGGCAGTAAATACTGGTGATTGGCTTTGACGATCTGCATCCTGTTCCACTTGGCCATTTGTTTTTCTTGTGATAGATGTTCTCGTTCCTTGATTGTTAGTTGGTCTCCTATATGTGTATGCTCGAAAAAGGAAGTAATGGAGAAAAAAAAGGAGGAAAATATGGTGGTGTCACTTTTGTGGAATCCAATCTAAATGTGATGGTGTTCAAATGGTGGGTGTTATTTGGCACTGGAGATGGACAACAGCAAGCTGTGACGCGATGGGGCGACTCATTTCTAACCTTTCGTTTGGTGGATGCATATTGGAATATCTTAGCATAGACACGCCACTAATCGTCGTAGGCGATACACAAGCTGTTTACAGCGAAGCAGTGGCAACATCTGCATGACCTTTTGTTCTTAATTCGAAGATCGACTTGTGCCCACGAAACCCACCATCTTAAATAGATGCAGTCAACGTTGTTGTCACCGAAAAATGTACGATGAACAGAGCAAATAAAGCATGGCATCAGCACAGGAGATAGATCTCGTTTGCGATTATTCTATCTTGCTCTCTCGTAAGTAAATTCAAATCCAGACAGTCCTTAAAACAGTTCGGAGGAAGGAATGCAGTTAATCGTTCAAGGAGAACCGGAGGAGCTCTCTAGTGAAGGACATGGCTGCCATAGTCTTCGTTGAACTTGTGGTAGCGATGAGCATGGAGGTGGGCCGACGGTCTTGTGTTCTTCAGTGCCACCTCGATATCTTCCGGCGTTACCGGACCAACAGGAGGCAGCTCTGCGTGCACGAGAAAGACCAAGTAATTTGTCGTGCCGTCCAAGGCCACATACATGAAAGAAGCAGCCAAGAATTCCGACATAATACATACCATCGTCGTCGATCTTCTCATCTTGTTGTTGTCGTTGCTGTCGGTCTTCCAAGTATGACATCAACCTCCTCAGCGGCTGCATGGCTGCCTCCTTGCACACCAAACGGATGTCGGAGCCCGAATAGCCCTCTGTCTTCTCCACCAGGCAGTCATACGGGACCTCTGCCTTTGCAGGCACCGATGGTAGCAGTTCCTCAAACATTGCTCGTCTTGCTTCCGGTTCGGGAAGCGGTACGAGAATCTAATTCAACCCGGTCGGTCAAGGAGAAGAAGCGAGATGGACACCCACCAAACAACTCCTCTCTCGTATAGCATAGATTTCAAGACCACAAAAGCGGCAGACATGCAAGTGAGATTTGATATCATCTCATCGATGAGTGCCATCAAAAGGATACCCTTTTCTCGAGACGTCGGAGCATCGCTGCGTCCAACTCCCACGGTAGATTTGTCGCAGCGAGAACGAAAACCAGCTCATTCGTCTTCGTCAAACCATCCATCTGCATCGATCATCCGAGTCGAGTTCCAGAACAACATCAAGATCATGAGACCACCGGCGCATCTCGCGACTCCAGCTGACATCAAGGGATCCATCGATCGATTACCTGTATAAGGAGCTCGGTCTTCAAACGTCGACTGGCTTCGTGCTCGCTGCGAGCTTCCCCGCGTTGGCTGATGATTGCATCGATCTCATCCAGAAAAATAGTAGCCGGTGCGTGGTGCCTGGCAAGCTCAAACAAGACCCTCACCAGCTTCTCCGAGTCACCTGTGAGATCCCAATCGACAAGTCAGTCGTCCGTCTGTTCTTCGATCGGTCGTATAAGAAACCATCCTACATAGGTGAGCGACTACACTAGAAAAGCATGGGAGAGCAACTAAAACAAGGGCGGAAGCTGGTAAGAAGATGCACGTCAAAGCCCCATACCACGCCATTTGCTGACGATTGATGATGCGGAAATATTGAAGAAGGTGGTCTTGCATTCGGTGGCTACAGCTTTTGCAAGCATCGTCTGGTAAGAAGGAAGATCAAAAAAGCAAACGATCATATGTCGATGCACAAAAACTTCATGCCGTGCCGTGAAAACATCCCATCAGCGAACGCTTAGGAAAGAGCAAACTCCATCCAGAATAGCTAAAAGACGAGAGACGGTGCACAAACTCGAGACCATGTCCAAAGGAAAAAGCTTCAGGCAAGTGTATATGGTTAATTCCTTTCTACGCGTGATGGTGAATCATGATGTATCATAATATAAGACTATCTCCATTGGAACAGCACAATGAGAGAGTACCTTTCCTGTTCCCGGGGGACCAAACAGCAAAATGCCTTTCCATGGCGAAAGAAGGCCGGTGAAGTACCTTCAATTACAAATGAACGAAGAGGATCATTGAATTTTCCTAATCTTACCCAAAGAAACATAACCACAGCAAGCGAACGATAAATGTATGGTTTTTGTTTTTCTGACATCGCCGGAATATTGAGCCATAAATGAAATCACAAATAAGCGATCGAACAGAGTAAATACAGAACAGCTATTTGAACTAAAGCAAATGCATCAAACGAACATGATCAAGGTAGAACCGAGCTTATATGTGCTGATACGTACTTGGGATACTTGATGGGCATGACGACTGCTTCCTTGAGGAGGCGCTTGGCATTGTCCAACCCTTTGATGCTTTCCCATTTGACATCCGGGCTTCCGCGGATAATATCTCTGTGAGTGAAACAAATAGTTAGATCACCTGCAAATTTTTATGCCGTCAGAGATTTCTCAGAACAGCAAGCGAGCGAGCAACCTACCTGCACAAAGTCTCTGCTAATGTTCGAACTTCTGCAGATTCAAAAGGTGGAAGCAGCGGCCTTTGCCTGCAAAACATCGTTTCCACAAGCAGTTTCTCAGAGAGAGAGCATTCTCATGCGTCCATGGTTGTGTACAGCAAGAGATCCAGTAATCGATCAAAATGAGAGCAAAAGAAGGAAAGAAAGAAGAACAAGATCTGTTCATATTTTGCGCAAATACACTCTCAACGTAAATCCCTCAATGAACGTTGCAATGAAACTCCTCCGACCACCGATGGAAACGAGAAAGATTTCAACATCTGTATGACGCTGAACCAGATTTCCACATCTTGGTTAGGCTAGGAAGACACTTAACGAATGCAAGCAATCCGACATCAACAGAAGAAGGCGAAGAAACCAAGGGAGTCTTACGGTCTCTCTGCGTCCGAAATGACTCCCGGCCGTGCCCCAGTCGCTCGTTCCTGCAATTTGTCATCGTCGCTGTGAGGTCATGCCCTGCTTCAGCAGGCAGAGGATTGGAAACCACGAATCCCACCTGTTGCTCGAACTGCTCGTAAACAGCCAGATCGGCCTTCCTCCCGTTCGCAAAACTCCCGTTGGTGTGCGCCGGCGTCGATTCCACCACCGCGTTGTCTTTCTTCGTCTCCTTCCCCCATCCGAAGAACATCTTGACCTCCTGCGGCATCAAATCGAGAGTAAACTCAGGGTGCTGTCATCGACGGCGGAAACAACGAGACCAACATGGAAGCGAGGGAGGGACGCGAGCAGAGACACACCGGGAGATGGGATCCGGCCGACGACAGGAAGGCTACGAGGAGAGTGGTAGCAAGAAAGATGAGAAACAGCATCTGTGGGAAGGGTAATATAGCACGGAAAGTGGGCGGTGTGATGTGCAGGCGAAACAAAATCGATCTGGGAAAGGAAGGCGGAAAATAATCATTTAAATAAGCTTGCATGCATGTTTCACGTGGCTCCTCTGTCGTGGATCGATCATGCTTCTCTCGACCTCAATCTTAGATTGATCTCGTTCGGAAGGAAAGATTGAACTCGTTATTTTTGGATGGTTACAATTGGATGGAGCAGCAGCCGATCTCAGCTTTAAGCATCAACTCTATTCTATTGAATCTAGTGCGAGATACGGTGATAGATTTCTGCACGGCCCAAGCGGTAGGGGATCTGAATCCAGATCACGTGGGGGAGGTAGGTGAGGGATATCGCCCTCGATCGAACGGTGTTGGTGGGGAAGCGACGCATGGATGGCAGGGCAGGCATGCAGCCTTCGCGTCGACCCAGGCGACGCCATGTGACTTCGGTGCTTCTTCTTGGGTTTCCCACCCCAACCCCACCCCACCCCATGCGCGCATGTGCCGCCTCCTCGTTCGGTGATCAACCACTTGAGCACGGACCGGGCTTTTGGATTGTCCCCGCCGAGCCCAATAAATTAGCATTGCCGCGTGCTTATATCACCATCTCCATTTTTCCTCGTGCGCGCACACATCATAAAGCTGTAGTTTTCAGATTAATGGATCCCAAATGTTAGCCATCCTTGGATCGCGATCGTCCACCCGTCGTTGCGAGAAGGGTGATCATCGTACATGCGGTCGGCAAAACGAGTTGGTGGTGGTGCAGGATGTAGGAGGCAGGGATCTGGCCGTCCGGAGGGCGGCTTTGCGCGAATCTCAAGGTCGAATGGATCCGGAATGCGCCGTGAATCATCACGTGCGATGACCGAGATCACGGAGAGCCTCGATTTGAATCGCTGCACCCCGGCCAATGCAGACTGAATCACCCCGGAAAATGTTTCTGGCTGATGTCGCCCCACCAAATTAAATCTCTCCTTGACTTGCATATCTTTAGGCTCTAATGATAGCATGCAGCAAGAGGCCCCACAATTCTCGAATCATGATTGGTAGCTCTAACAAACCAAGTTTTTTCCTCTCAATAGCGACAGTAACAACGATAGAAAAATGAGGAATCGACTTTAAATCATGCAACGTGACATCAATGTTCAATGATTCATAGGAACCAGCAAGTTTATTCCAACCCATCATGATAGAGCGGTCGCTGTATTGGGATTGCTTTTAATTAGTAGTCCATCATTAATATATATATATGTATATATATATATATATATAACATAGTCGGACCCCTTTCGAAATTTATTATGACGGTCGTTGCAATAATTATAACGGTTGATGATTGCTCTCGGCCTAATCATAGCGCCATTCCCTCTCTCGGTGCATCACTTCATACGACCCGAGCGGTGAGCACCGGACCCGTTCATTGTAACATCACCTTCTCGAGGGTTCAAGGCACAATGAATGCGGTCCCCGGCGCTGCGGTGGGATATGATTAGGGAGACGCTCTTCGAGGAAGAGAGAGAGAGAGAGAGAGAGAGCGAACGAGCTGGATTGCACATGAAGCATGCGGTGCAGGAGGCGGGCGAGCGTTGGGTTCGGGTCCCCCCGTCGGCGACCTATGCTTCCGCAAATGGTTGTCATCAACTAACGGGTCTGCGCGACTCGACCACATGCGCACATAAGATTCCATGGACGGGCCTAATTATTGTGGGGGTGGGCCCCCGTGGTCAAGGCCGACGTGCTCAAAAGGCAGCATTGTGAGCCCACGTCATGACATTTGTGTTTGACCCCAACCTTCCCTAGAAGGGAGCTGGCGACCGCCTCTGGTCCCACCCTCCATCTGTCAACCTTCTTCTTTTGTGTGTATGTATCTACTGACCGCCCAGACATCGAACCTACCCTTCGTGTACGGGTCGCATGTATCGATGAATGTTGCACCCATAAATCATACCATGAACCTTACGACGACGAAGTATCCTTTCGGCGTGATTAGGGGAAGTTAAAGATGTCAATCTCACGAACATGCAGGGCGTGGTGGGTGGATGGAAGATGTAGTCATGTCGGGAAGTACAGTGATGACCCACATAAACCCACATAATGACGCATAGACTGCACCGAACAATCTTAATCACATCACCCGAGCTTTTTAAACACGCGAATCATTACACGGACGAACATCTTAGTTTATCTCTCCAGGTGGGTCTATCGGGATGGATTATATATTTCTTTTCGGTACATTGATTATGTTGTCTAAACCCTCTATTACTGCGAGCATGTCATTATTCTTACTTAGTACAACCATTTTAAGACGATGCTTTCGTTTTAAACGAGTCACTGAACCCATCAGTTGGTGGGTTATTGTATGATGGCACCGGTACGTCAATGCACCCTTGCAAATATTTTGTGTATGTAAATGACACCACTGATTCGATGAACATTATCTTCCGTCTTGTCAGGTGTAGAGATGCATTATTGTAACGACAGGAGACCTATGCTATGATTTAATCCTTCATATATTGTTTTACGTTTTCTTTTTTACTTGTTGATTGAACGTAATATTGCATCGTAAAGGAAAAGCTGTGCTATCAAACATGCATGTGTTCATTTCTCACCTCTTCTCTCTCTCTCTCTCTCTCTCTCTCTCTATATATATATATATATATATCGTGGCATGATCATAGTCCATAGAAACGAAACCCGTGACACATCAAACACCGCGCACACACACAGATTGCTCGAGCCACCAAGCAATATCTATAGGTCCAACAAGTAGTGCATATATATATATATATATATATATATATATATATATATATATATATATATATATATATATATATATATATATATATATATATATATATATATATATATATATATATATAGTATAAAATAGAGAGAGCGTGTGTT